AATGCCAATAGCAGCAACATATACCGCAAATCCCCCGGCATAAAGGCGACAAACCTCAGCAACAACCTGGCCCAACCAAACCTAAAAGCAGCAGCAGCAGCAACAGCAGCAGCAGCAGCAACAGCAACAGCAGCAGCAGCAGCAACAACAACAGCAGCAGCAACAGCAGGGGGGCGCACTTGCGTGGGAGTAGGTGAGGGTCTCTGTGAAGGTCCACTCCGTTGCTTCTTGCTGCTCTGCTGTGCCTTCTTTGGCTTCTGAGACACCGCTCTCTCCTGCTGCTGCTGCTGCTGTTGCTGTTGCTGTTGCTGCTGCTGCAGGTGGTGAGACAGCCCAAATGATGACCTTGCCGTCTGCGCATGCAGCAGCAAGTCTGCTGCCAGACGCTGAAAAACTTAAACATATTATCGAAGCTTCACCAGCACTCAAAGTCTTTAAGAGAGATCCCTCGGGGCCCCACACACAGACATGTCCCGACTCATAACCTGCAGCAAGCATGCTTCCGTCAGGCTGCAGCAGCAGCAGCAACAGCAGCAGCAGCGGCAGCACATACGCAAAGCGCACAGGATGAGAAGCAGGCGCATGCAATAATAGTAACAGTGAAGTACTGTTGCAGCAACAACAGCAGAAACGAGAGCAACTATAGCTGCAGCTACACCCAGCAGCAGCAGCAACTGCTGCTGCTGCTGCTGCAGTGCATGCGCCGAAGGGCCAACCACAAGAAAAAACACCCCTCACCCAGCAGCAGCAGCAGCAGCATCAGCAGCACCAGCAGCATTATTAACAGCAGCAGCAGCAGCATCAGGAGCAGCAGCAGCAGCAGCAGCATCAGGAGCAGCAGCAGCAGCAGCATCAGACACAGCATTATCAACAGCAGCACCAGCAGCATCAGGAGCAGCAGCAGCAGCAGCAGCAGCAGGTTAACCTACCCTCCAGTGTGCAGAAGAGCCTGGGTTTGCTGCTCCTGAAGCGATGGGGGGCCCTGCGAGTTCCTTGAAGGGCTTCAGCTGCTGCCGGCCTTCGATCGACTCAGGCAGACGATATAAACGAGGCGACCCAACAGCAAAACTGCACACGCAAAGGCAAACCCACATGCCGATGCTATCCTGCTGCTGCTGCTGCTGCTGCTGATGGTGGTGGTAGTGCTGCTGCTGCTGCTGATGGTGCTGGTGGTGTTGTGTGTAGTGCGGCACATGTTATTCTATTGCTGCTGCTGCTGCTGCTGTTGCTGCTGCAGCGGTAGTAGAAACAGCCAACGCATGCTTCCGCAGCAAGCGAAGCAGCAACAGCAGCAACAGCAGCAGCAACAGTTTCAGCAGCAAACCTCGATGCAACCAAATGACACCCTCATCAGCAGCAGCAGCAACAGCAGCAGCATCAGCAACATCACCAGAACCAGCACCAACACCAGCAGCAAGAGCAACAGCAGCAGCAGCAGCAGCAGCAAGAGCAGCAGCAGCAGCAGCAGCAGCAGCAGATTTACTTGGTAACAATCAGCTGGGGGTCTACGGGGCTCCATTCGCTAAGAGCACCTGCTTCTCCGACGTCAGAGCATTCAGCAAGCCGCAGCAAATCATTAACAGCAACTCTTTCTTCAAATGCATGCAGAGGGGGCCCCACAAGAATCGTATCCTCGTCCACTGCTGCTGCTGCTGCTGCTCCTCCTCCTCCTCCTCCTGTTCCTGCTGCTGTTGCTCCTCCTGCTGCTGCAGCAGCACCAGAAACGGAAGCAGCAGACTTCAGCTGCATGCTGCTGCTCTCCCCGGGGGCTGTCTTCACTTGTGCGCTTTCAGCTGCCTCCAGCGACACTGCTGCTGCTGCTGCTGCTGGAGACCCCACAGCAGCAGCTGCTGCTGCTGCAGCAGAAAGGTCTGCTGCAGCGTCCTCAGGCCCTTCATGCAGCAGCAGCGACTCCTCTCCTTCTGTTGCTGCGCTCTCCCACGACGCGCAAGCAGCAGACAGCGGCAGCGCAGCAGCGCGACTCCCCAACCTCTGCAGCAGCAGCAGCAGCAGCAGCAGCAGCAGCATTGGCAATCAGCAGCAGCAACAGGGCCGGCAGGAAGCAGCAGCAGCAGCAGCACATACACCGGCGCAACAAATGTAGCAGCAGCAATAAAGCAAGCAAAGACATCAACATCAGCAACAGCACTCAACAGCAGCAGCAGCAGCGGCAGCAGCAGCAGCAAGGGCTTACGACTCTCTTTTTTCCTCGGGAGTTTTTATGTCCAGCTCGTCTGCAGCGCATTGCAGCTGCACCCTCTTCTTCTGCTGCTGCAGTTGCTGCTGCAGCTTCAGGTATGGGGGCTGCTGAGCCTGAGCAGGGCAGACCGGCGCTTCCTTCTGCTGCTGCTGCTGCTGCAGCCGCAGCTGCATTAGTTGCTGTTGCAGTTGCATGGTGTTGCTGCTGCTGCAGATTCAGGTCCGCGCTAGCTACGCTACCTCTGCGTGTGGCAGCAGTTTGCTGCTGCTGCTGCTGCTGCAGCGCATGCAATTGCTGTTGCGCGACGTTTGTGCTGCTGGTAGCATTTCCCTTTGGAGTGAGTGGCTGCGGCTGTTGCGTAGCCGCTGCTGCTGCAGCAGCAGCAGCAGCAGCAGCGGTAGCAGCAGCAACTTCAGCAGCAGCAGCAGCAGCAGGCGGGGGATCTGCACTGTCTCCTCTATACCAGCACTCATGTCTCCTAAATAAGCTAAAGGGTTCTTCGCATTGCACTCTGTCTCCTGTCTCTACATCTGTATGATACTCAAGATAAATAAATAACAAAGCCTTCTGTAAGAAAGATATTAAAGCATTTGGCGGCAGCTTCTCTTGATGAGACACCCAGAAAGGGTTTCTTTGTATGTTTGCTTCTGCCTGAAAAGCGAACGCTGAGTGTATATAACCGTTCTCAAGTAGATACCGCTGCAGCAGCACATTTACTTCGTCCGACGATAGATGCACCCTCATCCTCAATGCTGCTCCTGCTGCTCCTCCTCCTCCTGCTCCTCCTGCTGCTCTTGCTGCTGTTGCTGATTATTATCAAGCTGCTGCTGCTGCTGCTGCTGCTGATCAAGCTGCTGCTGCTGCTGATTAAGCTGCTGCTGCTGCTGCTAAGCTGCTGCTGCTGCTGATTAAGCTGCTGCAGCTGCTGGCGAATAAAATGCGCATGCAGCGGCTACA